TAAAATAAATGGACTAGTTTTACAAAAAAAAAAAAAAAAGTTGAAAAACAAATTCTTTCTTTATTTTTTATTAGTAGTCAAAAATTAATACTCAAAATAATAATAATAATAATAATAATAATAATACTACTCAAAATAATAATAATCTATACCTATTATAAAAGAAATATTTTATTTTTGTGTATATAATTTTTAGATTATTTCACATTTATATTTTTTAATAATAAAAAATAACTAAATTTAAACCTTGAACTTAACATTTTAAGATTTAAAAATTAAATATAATATCAAATTGATTCAATAAATATTAATAATTTTTAATAAATATAAAAATATAAAATATTTCAATTTCCTAGACAATAATAATAAGAATACTCAAAATAATAATAATACTTTATTGTAAAGTGAGATGAAGATAAGGTAGGCCATGGTGAGTCACATTTGATAGTAATAATTAAGAATCAAAGGAGAGGTGTTGAGGTAAAGTAAGTTGGTAGACGATGGACTCTGCACAAGTGAAACATAAAATCTATTATTAGCATAAAGTAGCATTAGAAAGTCGTATACGTCTCAACTTTTCCGAAATCTTTTTCCCCTTTAAACTGTTGAGAAATTCCCCCTTTCTTTCCTATCCACCCTCTTCTCTCTCCTATTTAACTTTAATTTTTGTTTTAATTTTGATTTTGATTTTAATTTTTATATATTGTACTATAAATTCATGTATTTTGATTTAAATGATATTTATTTTTTGGACAATTAAAATAAATTTTATTTCTTTAAATAATATTTAAAAATTCTATAACCACAATAAAATATTTTTATATTATTATTATTAGTGTTATTTTTTTTACTTTGTATTTTTAATTTCTATTTTCTAAGATTTTTAATGAGTAAAATAAATATTTAAAAAAATAAAAAATAAATATAAATATAAAAAATAAGACAACGAGTAAATAATTTAGTCCCTAAAATATTATTGTCTATATTTCAAATTTTTTTTATATCATAGTTATCTTTAAAATATATAACCTTTCAAATTATTAAACTGAGATCGGTGAATTTACTGATGTTATAATAATTGAGTATGTTTGTATTCAATATTATTTTTTATTTTGTATTTTTTTACTTTGACTTGTTAGGAAAAGAACTTATCTCATAACAAAAATAAAATAATATGACCCTTCAAATTCATGAATCATCCATGCACCACATTTTCAAGTACTTCACACTCTTCACCTTAGACGTAGCATTTGCCCTCAAAAGCAAGGTGGAATTGAAATAATGAAAAATGTCATGTTACTCTAATAACACAAGTCGACAAGTGGTATGAAAACCAAAGGCTAGCTTCCTTTATGTTTTCTTGATAATTTATTTGCTAGTAAAAATATATAATTGTTCTGATATGAGAAGGCTTCCTTTATTTTCTGCAATGCTACTCTATCAGCATTTCATGTAAACGAAATCCGTTATTTTGGAAATTGTAATATAACTTGCATTCCTTGTGCCTTATTCCTTTCATATATAGAACAAACAAATCCTCCATATATAACATTCATGGTCTAGAGTTCCTATGCTATTACACTGTCACTTGACTCCAGTAAGGTGCCTTTAAAACAAAAATCACCACCACTTTATAGTGATCCATGTTCACTTTACATTCCATCATACATAATTAATATTCTAAACTCCATATTGCAGATTATTTTATCCTTAAAATTCACAACTATCTCATATCGTTTTGACTTTTACAACTCAAAGTTGTGCTCAAAAACATTATATTATGTCAAAATGGTCTTGATTAATTTTAGAGTTTATAAAAATGTTCTGCAAAATATTTTACTTATTTAGAAATTGTCACTCGTTCCCATGAATAAATGTAACAACAAACTTTGCTAAAAGTTTCTATTTCATTCAACGAAAAAACAGTTTAAATACATTTGTTGAAGATTCGTCTCTTTATAATAATTAATTCAGTCGTTGCTTAGTTCTTGAGTACTATAGTACCCAAAAAATCTTATTTGCTTTAGAGGTTGAGAATGTTGGTAACTGCCCCTTTATTTTAGGAATATAGGAGTATATTTTTAGTTTTAAAAAATGCTCCTGATTTTAAGAGGAAGTTATTTGTATATGGCCCATTTTGTGTTCCCATTATCTTAGTAATCATCTTTGGATAGGATCAAAATTTTCTGTTCCAAAATTCTGTCCTCTCAATCACAAAATATCATCTCAATTAGATTATCACGTATTATTTTTAATTTTAATTTTGATTTTAAAAAAATGTAACTGATTTTCATGTTCAGTTATGATTTTTTTTATTATTTTAATTCTCTCATTCTTTCTTTTGTTTATTCCTTTTTCATGCAACATTGTTCCATTCTATTATTGATTATTCTCTACCTTTCTTGTTTGTTGTGTGTGCCCTCCATTATCATTGGCCTGGTAAAAAAAACCAATTTAAAATCATCAAAAATCAACAACAGAAACATAACCGCATCGAAATCAATTCATGATAATAAAAAATACTATACTAAAATAGAAGGACAAACAAAAAAGTAGCCATTAAACTAGATCAAGCAGTGAAAGAATAACCATATGGCAAGAAGAATGATTCTGGTAGGCATCATAATTTAAACACATTCTCCTGCAAACAAATTCAAACATTAATCCCTGGAAAATGAAAATCTCGCGCTTGTAGGCTTTGTAATTCTTATCACCCTCTACATTGTAGACCCTTGTGCGTCCCTTATTTGTATACAAACAAAAGCAATATTCAAACCTAAAAAAGAAATCATAATTCAAGAAAATCACAAATTAAAAAAATGAATCAAAGTAATAATATCAATCAAAGCAGCGAGAAAAGGAAAACAATAATATGAAACAAAGCAGCAAGAAAAGGAATGTGAATCTCAGAATGGTTAATAACGACCGTGAGAACATGAACAAAAAAGAAATTATATACCATAATTAAAATAAGATAGATGGAGCTAATAATTCTATTAGTTTTTTATTCTAACTTAAATTAGAATGACATGATTATATAATTGACATAACTTTTGTTGATTTGGGAATAAGAAATGGGACACGAATAGGGGATAGGTGATTTTTGTCCCAAGATCAAAATTTTTTGTCTCCAATCCCTGTATCCTCAATCACAAAATGTCATCTCAATTAGATTATCACGTATTACTTTTAATTTTAATTTTGATTTTAAAAAAATATAACTGATTTTCATGTCTTACAATTTTTTTTAATTTTAATTCCCTCATTCTTCCTTTTGTTTATTCCTTTTTCGTGCAACGTTATTCTTTTCTATTATTGATTATTCTTTACCTTTCTTGCTTGTTATGTGTGCCTTCCATCATCATTGGCCCGGTAAAAAAAACCAATTTAAAACCATCAAAAATCAACAAGAGAAACATAACCGCATCAAAATCAATTCATGATAAAAAAAATACTATACTAAAATAGAAGGACAAACAAAAAATTAGCCATTAAACTAGATCAAGCAGTGAAAGAATAACCATAAAGCAAGAAGAATGACTGTGGTAGGCATCATAATGTAAACACATTGTCCCGCAAACAGATTCAAACATTAATACCTGAAAATGAAAATTTCAGGTTTGTAGGCTTTGTAATTCTTATCACCCTTTACATTGTGGAACCCGCACGCTTCTAGGCTTTGTAATTCTTATCACACTTTACATTGTGGAACCCCTGTGCACACCTCATTTGTATACAAACAAAAACAATATTCAAACCTAAAAAAGAAATCAAAATTCAAGAAAATCACAAATTAAAAAATGAATCAAAGCAATAATATGAATTAAAGCTGCGAGAAAAGGAAAACAATAATATAAAACAAAACAGTAAGAAAAGGAATGTAAATCTCAAAATGAACGCGAGAACATGAACAAAGAAAAAATTATAAATCATAATCCAAATAAGACAGACAGAGTTAATAAATCTGTTAATTTTTTATTCTAACTTAAATTAGAATAACGTGATTATATAATTAATATGACTTTTATTGATTGGGGTTTATGTGCATAGTAATTATTGGAGGTTAGTGTGTTTATTTTTCTTTTACTTCTGCTTAATATGAATATGTTGTGTGTTATGTTTAACATGTTTCAATCTATATGTTTTAACTATTAGAGAATGGTTTTATCTCCGATGAACAGAGATTGGATTTGAAACATATTTTTATGTGGTCCGATCAATTAGATGGATTTGATTTATTTTTACTTTTTATTTTTTAATTTCTAATTTGACCCAATTATATTCAATTTGGATTGATGATCAATTCATTATATTTATCCATAAAATTAAAATGAAAAATAAATTATATTTGACAATTTATAAAATATATTTTTATATTAAACATTTAATATTATAAATTTGTTTAATAACATTAATAATAGTATTTTAAATTAATAAAATAGATCGATTTCATTCAATACTTAAAAATTAAAATTCGAAATCCAAATCAAATCGATAGAATTTTCGATTTTTAAATCCAAATAGATTGGATAGTATGAATTACTCTTATTTTCCCATTTAAATTAGATTGGATTATCGTATGGAATCAGCGTCCACCTAATTTCATGGTTCTCTCTAATTCTCCAATTGTATTCCTTTCTCTACCAACTTCAACGCTGAGATACTTTCGACACTCTCACCCAATTGCCAGAAAATGTACATAAACAAAAAGAAAAAGACTTAATATTCTTAAAATTTTGGTCCAAAAATCTCTACCGCTGTCTTTGTTCCCGATTGCATTTCTGCATCTGTAGGGTGCCAAACAGAGACAGAAGATAAGAGGGCCATGGTGACTCACATTTTATACTGATTTTATTGCAAGAACTAAAGTGAGGAGAGGTCCTTTAGCTAATTAAAGTAAGTTGGTACATGATGGACTTACTTTTAATTGTGGGTCCAATTAAAAAGGATCTGCACAAACGTTACCACTATGCAACTTGCTACTTGCTATGAACTGTACCCTTACGGACAATTTACAAAACAATTGAAATTATTGAACATTTATTATGCAAGTTGGAAATGAAGATAAAACATGCATAGCAGAGGTTTATAGGGACACTGGAATTCGATACAAGGTACGTACTAGGACTCAAGCTGTCACTCTTCTCGCTAAATTTTAAGGACTTCTTTGCAAAATTAATAAGTTGCGAAACCTTATATCACCGGTCAAATTCAGAATCATCCATGCACCACGTTTTCAACTACTTCACACTCTTCACCTTAGCCGTAGCATTTCCCCTCAAAAGCATCTTCCTACTGAAGTTATTATTCATTACTCTCATCTTTTTTCCTTCTCCAGAATCAGAATAAACGCCAAGATTTCTTTCAATCTAGATCTTGTTTCTGCAGATGGCCGAGGCTTTGCTAGGAATTGTGATTGAAAACTTGGGATCTTTTGTCCATGATGAACTTGCAACATTTTTGGGTGTTGACCAACAGATTCAGAAGCTTTCCAGCTATCTCACTGCAATCCGCGCTGTCCTCGAAGATGCTGAGAAAAAGCAAATCACAAGCAATGCTGTGAAGGATTGGCTTCAGAAACTGACAGATGCAGCATATGTGTTGGACGATATCTTGGATGAATGTTCAATACACTCAAAAAGTTCATGCTTATCTCGTGTCCACCCTAAGGACATTCTCTTTCGTCGTGATGTTGGCAAGAGGATGAAAGACATTACCCAAAGATTTCATGACATTCATGAAGAAAGGAGCATGTTTCAATTCAGTACTGGTGTCACTGACAAGCAAGCAGAGGATGATGATGAATGGCGACAAACTAGCTCTGTCATTACTGAACCCATTATCTATGGTAGAGACCAAGACACAGAGCAAATTGTGGAGTCTCTTTTGCGGCATGCAAGCAACAGCCAAGACCTCTCCATCTATACCATAGTTGGTATGGGTGGACTTGGGAAAACCACACTTGCCAAGCAGGTCTTCAATGATGACCGGGTAAGCAAACATTTTGACTTGACCATCTGGGTTTGTGTTTCTAATAATTTCAATATGAAGACAATACTGCAAGCCATCATAGAATACACCACTGGACAAAATCCCAACCTCAATACTTTAGAAGCAATGCGGAAAAAGGTTCAAGAAGTGCTGCAAAGCAAGAGGTATTTACTTTTTCTTGATGATGTGTGGAACGAAGACCAAGGGAAATGGAAGGAGTTGAAGGGGGTGTTGCAGTGTGCAATGGGAACAATTTTGGTCACCACTCGACTTGAGCAAGTTGCATCCATCATGGAAGCGTGCCATGTTCATCGTTTGATAGAATTATCTGATGATGACAGTTGGTCATTGTTCAAACATCATGCATTTGAACATGACAGAGAAGAGAGTGAAGAGCTTGTTGCAATTGGCAAATATATAGTGAGGAAATGCGTTGGTTCACCCCTTGCAATCAAAACACTGGGAAGTCTCTTGCGTGTTCAAAGTGAAGTACAACAATGGCAGAACATAAAGGAAAGTGAGATTTGGGATATAAAGGAGGAAAGTGGTTTCACAAGTGGAGAAAATTCTATCCTACGTGCTTTGAAACTAAGCTATGTTAATTTAGACTTATCATTAAGGAGATGTTTTTCCTTTTGTGCTATTTTTCCTAAAGATTCTGAAATTGTCAAGGAAGAACTAATTCATCTTTGGATGGCTAATGGGTTTATTAAATCTGAAGGGAATTTAGAAGTGGAGGATGTTGGTTATAAGGTGTGGAAAACATTATACAGTAGATCATTTTTTCAAGAAGCAAAATCTGATGAGTTTGGTATCATTACAAGTTTCAAGATGCATGATTTATTTCATGATCTTGCACAGTCCGTTGTGGGTGAAGAATGTGTGGTTTATAAGCCAGAAAATTTGACTCATTTGTCAAACAAAGTTCACCATTTACACTTGTTAGAATGTAATGAGTCAAAGGCAGTCAATAAGGCTTCCTTGTATAAAGTTGAATCCTTGCGGACTTTTCTTGATGATTCGTATTGGTTCAAAAGAAATGTTCCTATGTTGCCATTAAACAACAGTCTCCGAGCATTAAAGATATCTTCTTGTCAATTGCCACCTCTGATGGATTTAACACAATTGCGGTACTTAAATCTGCATTGTAGTGATGTCACATGCTTGCCTAATTCTATTTGCAGGTTGCAGAAATTGCAAGTATTGAAACTAGAAGATTGTGACGACCTTTATGCGTTGCCCAAAGACCTGACACAATTACAAGATCTAAGACATCTTGTGATCGATAGATGTTTCTCAATAATAGTGATGCCTCCCAATGTTGGAAAGTTAAGGCATCTAAGAACATTGAGCAGTTATATTGTGGGTTCAAAGCCAGGATATGGGTTGGCAGAGTTACATGGTTTAAAGCTGGGAGGCAAGCTGCATATCAGAGGCCTTGAGAATGTCCCAAGTGAATGGGATGCTAAAGAAGCAAATTTGATTAGTAAGAGGGAGTTGAATCGCTTATACTTGTCATGGGATGGTAGTCCTAGTTCAAAAGGTAGTAATGTTGATGCTGAGTTAGTACTGGAAGGTCTTGAACCTCCGTCAACTCTCAAAGGTTTTGGGATGAAGGGATACAAAGGAGTACGGTTATCTAGATGGATGAGAAATCCTTCAGTTCTGAAAGACTTGGTAGACGTTATACTGTACAAGTGTGTGAACTGTAAGGAGCTTCCCCCACTTGGTAAACTAGCACATTTAAAAAAGCTAATTGTATATGGAATGAAAGATGTGAAGCACATAGATAGTGAATCATATGATGGTGTGGAGGAGAAGGCATTTCCATCGTTAGAGAAATTCTTTGTGAGAGATTTACCAAATTTGGAGAGGATATTGAGAGATGAAGGTGTAGAGATGCTCCCTCGTCTTTCGAAATTAAGTATTGTGGGTGTCCCCAAACTTAAACTCCCAAGTCTTCCATTTATTGAGGACCTTTATGTTGGGGGCATTAAGGACGAGGCTTCCCTCATGGAAGAGGTTGTGGGGAATATGGTTTGTCTTAAAATCCTAAAGATTGGTGACTTTTATAAACTCCAGGAACTACCAGACCAACTCAGCAGACTGGGTGTACTGCAGGAACTAACCATATCAAAATGTGATGAACTGGAGTCTTTTCCAGAACATGTGTTGCAAGGTCTTACTTCTCTTCGAAGATTGGAAGTTTTGTGGTGTAAGAAATTAAAATGGTTATGTGAAGGTTTGGGGCATTTAGCTTGTCTTGAGGTTTTTCATCTTTGGGACTGTCCAGAGGTGGTGGCTCTACCAAGCAACATGAACCAACTAACTGCTCTTAAGGAAGTGTCAATTGTGGGCCCATTACCAAAAGGCTTAGAATGTATCCCCTCCCTTCAAAGGTTGCGTATATCAGATGGTGAATGTAGTTCATTGCCAGAGTGGCTGGGAGACATGACTTCTCTTCGGGAATTACTTTTATGGCAATGCAGTGAGTTGAGGTCACTACCAAGTAGCATTCAACGCCTCACCAACTTGAGTCACTTAAGTATTAAAGATTGCCCAGAGCTGGAAAAGCGATGCAAGAGGGAAACAGGACAAGATTGGCAGTACATAGCTCACATTCCACAACTGGATCTGGGCCCATCAGTAGAGAAGAAGACTTGCACATTTTATGGTTCTGGTAAATTCTTAAGTATTTTCTTTTGTCTCACTTAAGTTGACTATGAAAAATTGTGTTCGACATTTTGAACAATGATTGAATATTGCGTGCAGAGAGAATCCAATCCTTCTGGACTATTTGCAACACCTTTGGAATACGGTCTGCTATAGACTTATGGCCAGGGGATCCCCCGGTCGATGAATTTCACGCAATTATTGAAGAGTGAGTTATGTCCAACATTGTTAAGCACTTTCTTTTAAATAATATATTTTATTAAAAGATTCATGATTTAATTTTATTATATATATATATATATATATATATATATAAATTAAAGGAATATCATTTTCAATAAGTATTTTTTATTTTTATTTTTACATGAACCATTTTATCTTCTATTTATTTTTTAATAACTATATTTTTTTATGAATAATTTCTCTTTTTTTTATTTTAATACAATGAAGGCATAGAGTGTCTTTTTCTTGCTAGTATATATAAAGAGGATCGAAATAGAAATAATAAAATTTAATTTTGTGAGAATTAAAAATTAAAATTAAAATAATTTTATTTTAGAGGAATTAAATATTTATTTGAACTAAATGTATAATATTTAAATATTATAAATGTACAAATACATACTTAAAAAATATCTAGAATAAATGTATTAATGACTAGTAAAAAAGTTCTAAAATTAAATAAACAACTTTCTAATAGTCATGACACAATCGTTTTTATAAATGTACAAAAAAATAAATATAATAATAAGTAAAAAATAACAAAATAAACCATAGCACAAAAGCATAAAATAAGAAAAAAAAAATTAGAAGAAGAATAAGTAAAATTACATAAACATCTTTTCTATATTATATCAACATCTCTTATATTACATTTTGCAAAAAAACAAATTTATTTTTTATTTTTACATTCTGTTTTGTTTTATCTCTCATTTATCATATTTTATGTTTTATTTTTACTGCTTTTCATTTATTATATTTTCTTTATAACACAAAGGTGATTACAACTTTAACCTTTTATGAAATTTTATGTTTAAGATTTAATTTTTTTAATTGATCACTAAAAATTAATATTTTTATTTTTTATAAGAGTAAATTAAAGTTCAAACTTTATAAATTTAACTTAAATAAAAGTTTAGTCCCTTTAAAAAAAGACTATTTTAATTTTAATCCTCTTAATTCTAGTTATTTTTATTTTTATTATTTTTTATTTTGATCCTTTTAAATTTTAATTATTCTTTTTTATCCTATTTTATTTTGATCTTTATAATTTTATGACTTTTCTATTTTGGTCTTTATAATTTTTTTTTTTTTGTTTTTTTTTCCATTAGATTGGATGGTAAATCTAACCACAAAGATGAACATAAAATATTTTATTTTACAGAAACGAAATTAAAACATATAGTTTACAAAAAAAAAACAAAATCAAAACTTCTTATTTTATATAGATTAAAAACTATTTAAACTTAAAAAGATATCATTTTCTACTTTTTCTTTTCTTTTCACCTTTATTCCTTTTATTTTCCTTACTTATCCAAACATATTATTAAGAAAATTGGTCACAAATAACACAGCTACAACTTCTATTATAGTGGATTCTAATTCTTTAAGTAAGTCTGTTTTAGATAAATTTATAAAAGTACAGATTTCAAAATTTTCCCTCTATTATTAATGTGATTGACCAAGAAGTGTTCCTGTTTTCTTCATTTTTTGTTGTTGGTTCCAATCCATTACGATTTACTCTCAATAATCATGATTTTACTTTCAGTCAGTGTTGGTGGTGGTGAATTCTATTTATCATATATATTCCCGCAGACAGTAACAGTGCCATGGAAGGTATGTTAGAACCTCTATAAAAGCCAAATGGATAATTGGTTACTTTCAGCATATGGTTGTTACATATTAGTTTCAACTTCAAGTATGTAATTTTGTTAAAAAAAAAACCAAAAAACTTAAAGTATGTAAAAACATAGTTACATTGATATGTCTTTTGTTGAAGATGAGATTGTTGAACCTTCCCTTTCATCTGTTTGTACAGGTCTCGTCTTCGGACTTATATGGACAACAGGCATCCATCCATCCTATTGTTACTTTATGGATCTAATCTCATTAGGATATGAATCAATAATTTATCAAAAGACCAAGTAATTGAGACAACTTATGAATTGTTTTTTATTTTATTTTACGTTTAAGAACAACCTTGTTACGAATTTATTTCTAATTTTCATCCGTTATGTCGTGAGTCTATAAAGAACAATAACTTGATGAGCTTGTTGTCATAAATGTTATATATTTATAAATAAATGTATATGGTATATTTATTCAGCATGTGAAGCAGAAGACTAGAATATTAAAATTAAAATAACTGCTTTGTGGATATTTATATGCTAACAGGCACTAAAGAAAGAAAAGCAGTATCAAATAAATATTTATACTGTTTATGCATCATTATTGAATGTTAATAGTCGCAGGCAGTCGGTGTTTGATCTAATCCATTTATATTTTTATTAATTTATTCAAGACCTATGTTGATGGACTTACATTTAATTGGACAGGGTAAAGTGCCATTCCAATTAAAAAAGAGCTGCACAAGACTATGCAACTTGCCATAACATGTGAAGCATTAAAAAATTAGCATTAGATTAGGTATCATAATATAATAATAAAAGAAATAAAAACATGAAAGACTAATTTAATGGAAATAAAGATTTTAAAATTGTAAGTTAATCCCTCTATGGTTTGAATTTAAGTTCCATGGTGATATTGGTGTGCTTCTGATTTCGGGTAGCATCAGCAACTAAAATATGAGAAAAGCAACGGTTGAAGATAGGAACAAGAGAAGAGCTCTTTCCAGTGTCCCATGTCTTTGGTGTATTTCGTTGGCATTCTTATCTCATGCTGGGTTGTGAACTGAAAACTTGGACTTGTGGGTTGAAACACTCAAGTTAGCACAAATTATAGCTACTTAATCTCATCAATAATCACAACAACAAAAAACGATTGCAACATAAAAACCATCTGATGTACATCAACTCCAGAATTAAATTTTCTGCAGAATGAAAATCGTAACAAAATTACATAATTTTCACACAACAAACATCGCTGCAACATGTAATATTATATTGTGATAAAGGACTGTATTTGCTACTATATAACTTTCAACTTCTGATCAACTAAAACATTTTAAGGACTTCTTTGCAAAATTAATAAGTTGGGGAACCTGTTATCACCGGTCAAATTCACGACTCATTCATGTATCACATTTTCAACTACCTCAACTTAGGCGTAGTATTTGCCCTCAAAAGCATCTTTCCGGTGAAATTCTTATTCACTACTCTTATCATATTTCCTTGTCCAGAATCAGAGTCAACGCCAAGGTTTCTTTCAATCTAGATCTTCTTTCTGCAGATGGCCGAGGCTTTGCTAGGAATTGTGATTGAAAACTTGGGATCTTTTGTCCAAGATGATCTTGCAACATTTTTGGGTGTTGACCAACAGATTCAGAAGCTTTCCAGCTATCTCACTGCAATTCGCGCTGTCCTCGAAGATGCTGAGAAAAAGCAAATCACAAGTAAAGCTGTGAAGGATTGGCTTCAGAAACTGACAGATGCAGTATATGTGTTGGACGATATCTTGGATGAATGTTCAATACACTCAAAAAGTTCATGCTTATCCCGTCTCCACCCTAAGGACATTCTCTTTCATCGTGATGTTGGCAAGAGGATGAAAGACATCACCCAAAGATTTCATGACATTCATGAAGAAAAGAGCATGTTTCAATTAAGTACTGGTGTCACTGACAAGCAAGCAGAGGATGATGATGAATGGCGCCAAACTAGCTCTGTCATTACTGAACCCATTATCTATGGTAGAGACCAAGACAGAGAGCAAATTGTGGAGTTTCTTTTGCGGCATGCAAGCAACAGCCAAGACCTCTCCATCTATACCATAGTTGGTATGGGTGGACTTGGGAAAACCACACTTGCCAAACAGGTCTTCAATGATGACCGGGTAAGCAAACATTTTGACTTGGAAATCTGGGTTTGTGTTTCTAATGATTTCAATACAAAAATAATACTGCAATCCATCATAGAATGTGTCACTGGACAAAATCCCAATCTCAATACTTTAGAAGCAATGCAAAAAAAGGTTCAAGAAGTGTTGCAGAGCAAGAGGTATTTACTTGTTCTTGATGATGTGTGGAATGAAGACCAAAGGAAATGGAAGGAGTTGAAGGGGGTGTTACAGTGTGCAATGGGAACAATTTTGGTCACCACTCGACTTGAGCAAGTTGCATCCATCATGGAAGTGTGTCCTGTTCATCGTTTGATAGAATTATCTGATGATGACAGTTGGTCATTGTTCAAACATCATGCATTTGGACATGACAGAGAAGAGAGTGAAGAGCTTGTTGCAATTGGCAAATATATAGTGAGGAAATGCGTTGGTTCACCCCTTGCAATCAAAACACTGGGAAGCCTCTTGCGTGGTGAAAGTGAAGTACAACAATGGCAGAACATAAAGGAAAGTGAGATTTGGGATATAAAAGAGGAAAATTCTCTCACAAGAGGGGAAAATTTTATCTTGCGTGCTTTGAAACTAAGCTACGTTAATTTAGACTTATCATTAAGGAGATGTTTTTCCTTTTGTGCAATTTTTCCTAAAGGTTCTGAAATTGTCAAGGAAGAACTAATTCATCTTTGGATGGCTAATGGATTTATTAAATCTGAAGGGAATTTAGAAGTGGAGAATGTTGGCAATAAGGTGTGGAAAAGATTATACGGCAGATCATTTTTTCAGGAAGAAAAGACCGATAAGTTAGGAATCATTACAAGTTTCAAGATACATGATCTATTTCATGATCTTGCACAGTCCGTTGTGGGTGAAGAATGTGTGATTTATGAGCACGAAAGGTTGAGTGATTTGTCAAACAAAGTTCACCATTTACACTTGTTAAAATGTAATGAGTATGAGTCAGTCAATAAAGCATCCTTAAATAAAGTTGAATCCTTGCGAACTTTTCTTCTTGATGATTCGAATAAGTTCAATAGAATTGTTTGTCTGTCGCCATTAAACAACAGTCTTCGAGCATTAAAGATATCTTCTCGTCAATTGTTACCTCTCATTGATTTAACACAGTTGAGGTACTTGTATCTGCGTCGGAGTTATGTCACTTGCTTGCCTAGTTCTATTTGTAGGTTACAAAAATTGCAAATATTAAAACTAGAAGATTGTCGCAACCTTAGTAGTTTGCCCAAAAACTTGACACGCATGCAGGATCTAAGGCATCTCGTGATTAATAGATGTTACTCAATAATAGCAACGCCTCCTAATATTGGCAAGCTAAGCCATCTAAGAACATTGAACACTTTCATAGTGGGTTCAAAGCCAGGGTATGGGTTGGCAGAGTTACATGATTTAAAACTAGGAGGCAAGCTGCATATCAGAGGCCTTGAGAATGTCTCAAGTGAATGGGATGCTAAAGAAGCAAATTTGATTAGTAAGAGGGAGCTGAATCGCTTATACTTGTCATGGGGTCCTGGTCCCAGTTCAGAAGGTGGTAATGTTAATGCTGAGCAAGTACTGGAAGCCCTTGAACCTGCCTCAACTCTAAAGAGTTTGAGAATGAATGGATACAAGGGAATACAGTTACCAAATTGGCTGAGAAATCCTTCAGTTATGAAAGACTTGGTGGACGTTATGCTCTACGATTGCAAGAACTGTGAGGAGCTTCCTCCACTTGGTAAACTACCAAATTTAAAAAGGCTGTACTTATCTGGAATGAAAGATGTTAAACACATAGATGGTGAGTCATATGGTGGCGCGGAGGAGAAGGCTTTTCCATCTTTGGAGACGTTGACTGTGGTGAAATTACCAAACTTGGAGAGGATATTGAGAGATGAAAGAGTGGAGATGCTCCCTCGTCTTTCCCAACTAAACATTGATGGCGTTCCCAACCTTAAATTGCGACCCCTTCCATCTGTTGAGCACCTTGATGCTTCGCATATTGAGGACGATGCTTCTTTCATGGAAGGGGTTGTTGGGAATGTGCCTTGTCTCAAGCATCTCAGCTTTAAATACTTTAGCAAACTCAAGGTGCTACCAGACCAACTTGGCAGGATTGGTGCACTGGAGACACTATTCATTGAACATTGTGATGGACTGGAGTCTTTTCCGGAACATGTGTTACAAGGTCTAACTTGTCTTCGAGTTCTATATATTGCCTACTGTGAGAAATTAAAATGGTTGTCTGAAGGTGTGGTACATTTAACTTGTCTTGAGGGTTTGGTTGTCGGGCGCTGTCCAGAGCTAGTGGCTCTACCAAACAATATGAACCAACTAACTGCCCTTCAAATTGTGTCAATTTCCGATACATTACCAGAAGGCTTACAACATATCCCCTCCCTGCAAAGTTTGAATACATATGGTTGTAGTTCATTGCCAGAGTGGCTGGGAGACATGACTTCTCTTAAGGAATTAACGTTAGTGAGATGCATGGAGTTGAGGTCACTACCAAGTAGCATTCAACGCCTCACCAACTTGGCTGAATTATATATTGAGGAATGTCCTGAGCTGGAGAAGCGGTGCAAGAGGGAAACAGGGGAAGATTGGCAATACATAGCTCACATTCCACAAGTGACAGTGGTCAGCTCCTCAATCAGAGAACTCACATATTGCGGTAAATTCATGAGCCTTTAATTTGTCTCCTAAACATGCAGAGTGAGTATGATTTATCTTTAAATATTGCATGCAGACAGAATCCGATCCTTCTGGATGCTATGCAACACAACTGGAATGCACTCTGCTATAGACTTTTGGCGAGATAATCCTCCACAACATGAACTTGACAGAATTATTGAAGAGTAAGTTACGTCCAATATTTCCAACCAGTTTATTTTAAATAATATATTTTATTAAAAGGTTAATGATCTAATTTCAAATTTAATCGAGGTATTTATGTCATTATATTTTTATTTTACTTTTTATATAATCAAACTAAAAAAAATTTAAAAAAAATCAAAATGGAAATAATAAAATTCTGAAAGAACTAAAATAAAATTAACTACAAATAAAAAAAATTAAAACTAAAACAATCTTATTTTATAAAGACTGAATATTATTTGAATTAAATTTATAAAAATTAAATATTTAAATACACTAAATACATTAATACATATTAAAAAAATAACAATATCAAATGTGTTAGTGACCAGCAAAAACAAATTATAAAAATTAAGCACACATTAATAATAAAGACACTTTTACAAATCTACAAAACTAAAAAACATAGCAAATAAGTGAAGAAAAATTAAAAGTAGACATAGCAAATTGAACTACAGCACGAGTATGGATAAAAGAAATAATAATAATAAAAAAAAACATATCAACATTTTTTTGTATCACATCAATATTTTTTTAGAGATTATATTTAACAAAAAAAAAAACTTTTTTTATTATTTCATGTTCATGTACTGTCATTCAATTATCATGTTTTATATTTTATTTTTCTATTCGAAACATATCATTCAAAAAAAAGTATATTAACACAACTACAACTTGCATTACTGTAGATTCTAGTTCTTTATAAAAATGCAGATTTCAAATTTTCTTTCTATCATTAATGTGATTGACCAAGAAGTGTTACGGTTTATTATTTTTTGGTTGGTTTCAGTTACTTTCACTCTCTATCGACATGACTGATAGTGGTAATTTTTTACTTTCAGTGATCTGTGAATTCTATGTATCATATCTATTCCTAGCAGATTGTAACTTGCCATGGAGGTATGAGGGTATGTTAGAATCTCCATAAATGCCAAATGGACGCAATTGGCTACTTTTACATGTCGTTATTATGATAGTTTCAACTTCCAAGTATGTAACTGGTTAGAAAAGAAAACACTTTTAAGTATGTAAAAGCATATTTACATTCGTATATCTTTTTAAGATGAGATAGCTGAATGTCCAAAATTGACCCACCTTCCCTTTTATCTATTTGTAAATTAAGAATGGTACAACTCTCTTCTTTTAGTCCAAAAATTTGAACTTACCTGGACATCCATATCTATCCTACGGTTAGGGGTTCTACTTACTTGATAGATATAATAGTGTGTTTTGAATGGGAAATCGAAATAAAATAATTTATTTATTTAAAGAATTTTAAATTTTTTTTAGATAAAATATATTGTTTGGATAGAGAATTTATAAAGAATTTGAAATTCAAGCATTTGTGAAATTTTTTAAAATAATAAAATTTTAAATTTTCTTAAAAAAGTAAGAATTTGAAATTTCTCATATTTATTTTTCTTATTTCACTTAGATATTTTATCTTATCTCTTCATTCTTTTAATTATTGAATATTCAAAAATATTTTTAAAATTATTAAATATTATCTAATATTATTTTTTTAAATTATTAAATATTTTAAAACTGGATAATATTTATTTTTATAAATTTAATTTAAAAATCTCAACATATGAATATATTTTTAAAATTAATTTTATCATGGTGGAATCAAATTATCATATCCAAACTAAAAATTTAAAATTTTAAAGATTTGAAGTTGATTTATCAAAACAAAATATTTTAAGAATGATAAAAAATTAAAATCAAAGTAATTCTGTGAAACCCCCTTCTTTTCCTTTCTTTCCCCGAAACTCTCACTCACTGTCATTTCCTTTTCTCTCCTTTCCTTGCGGCTGATTTCTTCTCCTTTGTGGTGGCCGTGGTGAGCATAGTTGTTGAGTAGGTGTTGAGAAGCTTGTGGACGCACGGATTTCTTCTTCCTTCTCCGTTCACCATATTTTTCAAGCTTCTTTTTCATTGTCTTCTACTTCCCGGAAGCTCGAATTTTCGCACCGAGGTAAGGGAAGTTAGGATTCGTGCCGGTTGTGTGAGATGAGTTTAGTAACTCATGGATGGTTTGATGATTGGATGATTTTGGCTGAGATTGAAGAAATTGGGGTTTTCGGGGTTAGGTAAAAATTTGGGGTTTTTCATTGATTTGAAGTTGCATGCTGGAAAGAGGTGTTTTTATTGATGCTTGATGAAAATGTGAGCTTTTGGATGGTTTGCATGTGGATTTTCTGGTTGTTTTTGCAGGTTTTGAAGAAGTTTTTGAAAGTTTGAGGGTTGCTGCTGGGTACACGCCGGGCGCAGTTCTTCGCGCCGGGCACGTGACCACCAGAGGGCTCCATTGGACAAGCCCGCCGGGCGTAGTGGTGTATGCGCCAGGCGAGCTTGATGTGACACCCTTACTACCCCAACACATATATTGTAATAATGAAAACTTACAAATAAATTTTTCAATTTCAGTAAAAGGGTTCACATGAGAAACTTCAAAATTGTTCTTCAATAACCACAATAATAAAAATTTAGCAAATGAAACACAAGAGTTTACAAATTGTTTTCAAAATAATATTTACAATTCCAAATCCATATAAAAATCTATATCCTAAAAATTCTCTGCCCCGATGTCACAATATCAGAGCGTAACCACAATTTAACTATTGGCATTCTAGATGCCACTCGTAGCCGGATCATCCTCACCTAAAACATCCACAATTTATATGATGAGAAAAGAAAATATCTATATGTAAAGCACATACAAATACATCACAATGTAATCTCATCATAACTCATTACTTAATAAAATATTTACAAGCATTTCTATATATCATAACTCTATCAATCATGCATCATTTTCACTTCATAATTCACAATCACACCCATTAATCTCAAATCTTGCAATTAACATTATCATTTTCACATTCATAATTCACATAATCTTACAATTAACACTATGTCAAGGTCACGCCACAACTGACATAAGTGATACGGGTTAATTGCCTTACTCATCCCACACCATGCCAGGGTCACGCCCTCCCTGTAGCATCACTTACCCAGGGGTCGTGCCATCCCTGGTCATTAACATGAGGAACCACAATCACGTTACAATCCACACAATCTTTTACCATTAACCCTATGTCAGGGCTGCCATATTTGACATAAGTGATACGTGTTAACTGTCTTACTCATCCCACACCATGCCAAGGTCACGCCCTCCCTGTAGCATCACTTACCCAGGGGTCGTGCCATCCCTAGTCATTAATGTGAGGAACCACAATTATAATCATATTCACATTCGTCACATCTCATCTTATAACTCAATAACATATCACATACACACAATAGATAAGTCCAACAAAATAAAGGTAAGCAATTAACATCTAGATCATCAATTCTTATCAAGTAATATAACAATAACATTCATAAATTAATATAATACTCAACCGAATCACCAATTTAATACAATATTAAATCAAATAGTAAAACTCTCAATTTTCCAAAACCTAACTCAGACACTTTTCTATAATTTCATTCTCTCTCCCAAATCATCATTTTCACAAATTAAATACATATTTCTAATCCTCAACACATACAGAATCTAATGGGATCATCAATTTCTCAAACAGAAATAATCCAATTTTCCACAACCTAACTTACAGGCACTTTTCTATAATTTCGTTCTCTCTCCCAAATCATCATTCTTACATATTAAATATATATTCATAATCCTAAATTCATACAGAATCACATAAGACCAATAATTCTCCAAACAGAAATAATTATAAAATTACTCATAATCTTAAGGGACTCTTCCTCTACCCAATTCCTTCATGTAACTCTACATACAAATAATCCCTTTTTCCCCCGTACCTAGATATATAGAAGCTGAACCTACACAAGATCTGGTTGATCTCCCTCGCTGGGTTCCCCTCGGTCTGAAGTAGAAAGTAGAGGGAAAGAAGAGAGAGCAAAAGAAAAGAAATCAGAAAATGAGAGGTGTGCTTTTTGGGAGTGGCAGAGCGCTCTATTTATAGGCATCAGGCTTCGCCGAAACGACCCGTTCCAAATCCAGAACGGCCCGTTCTGGACCCTTAAATCACGACTAAAAATCACATCCAGAACGACCCGTTCTCAAACCAGAACGACCCGTTCTGGGGTGCATTTAATACTCACAACGGTCATATTTTTGAACGGTCCATTCTCAACTCTGGAACGACCCATTCTCAATTTGGGAACGCCTCGTTCCAATTTGAGAACGTCCCATTCTCATCCAAAATTTGTAGACAATTTTTGTATTTTGGAACGGCCTGTTCCAGTTTGGAAACAGCCCGTTCTGGGATACAAAATCACTCTCATTTTAGTCGTTTGGAACGACCCGTTCCGATTTGGGAACGGCCCGTTCTGAGCTACTAAACTACCCCTATTGGGCCTTTGGGCCCTCAAACAATCTGTGAAAATTGGGCTGTTACAATTCTCCCCTCCTTTATGAAATTTCGTCCCCAAAATTTTTGCAATGGTAGACTCCTCACATCTTGCTTTCTAATTCCTATGCAACCTCACTACCTTATAGATGTACAACTCTATCAATTTCACCAAGGAATGTCTATTATCAACAAGGGTAAGACAAGTAAACTTGGCGAGTCTATCCACTATAACCCAAAGAGAATCAATCTCTTAAGCGTCTTAGACAAACCTACAACTAAGGTCTATCCACTCACCATCTCACTTCCAAAATGGGATGTCTAAGTGCTACAAAAATTCCTAAAGACTTCTAGCATACTAAACACGAGTATACAAATTTCTCTACTCCTCTCTTTATCTTAGGCCACCATGTTTCCGCTGCACCACTCTAATACATCCTCCTATAGTCCCGATACATCGCAGTAGCTCCTAAATGAATGTTAAGAGTACTCTTATGTCCTTCCTCTACGATCATCTTCCTTAATTCAGGATTACTAAGCACCTAAGTTTTGTTCTTGTACCTCAAAAAAAGGTCGATTTCTACTCAGAAATGGTTATCTATACTTCTACCAATCGGTTGCTGTGAGGTGCTCGATCTCGATTCTCTTTTCGGCCCTCCTCCCTGCCAGCACGATAATTGTTTCTCCTGTTATCTCCTCGAACAAAATTTTGGAGATGTCCGGCTTTAACGAGATCCTCAATACGATCCCGAAGGGCAGAGCACTCTTCAGTAAAGAAGAGGTTCTGCGCCGGGCTCAATATAACCCGCGCTGGGCGTGACAAAAATAGAGTATTTCATCTCTGCCAGTTATATTGCGCCGGGCGCAAAAGGA